TTCTAACCTGATTTGGAATCATCAGATCTTGGAAGAATAAATTATTTTGTCTAACTTGGGATGCAGATGCTCTGGTTGAACTGCCTTCTCCATACGTAAAAGTTAGTACGTCTGTCTCTCTTGAGTGTGTTTTGGTGCTTATAGGCCATTGAAAAACAGGTGCTGCCTGCGGTTAAATTTAACACAAATCAGGATTTATCCGCCCCGACCGAGATTTACCCATGTAAATGCGACAGGGTACTTGTGTGGTTTTCCGGCTCTTTGCCGGAAATCGGCAGTTTGATGCGGCTAATTCAATTGCAGTTAATTTACCGGCATCCAGGACAGGCATATCTCACTGGAAACACTTCTACTGAAACGGGAAATTGGACGGAACTTCTAGTATGTAGATCGCAAAGAAGACACAAGCCCAAACAACGACATTTTTCCGAAACAAGGTAAACTGAGATCATCCGGGTTTGGAAATAGCGGAAATTACTTTTAAAAAGTACAGTTCCAGGACGAGCAAGTGGAAGCTAACAGAAGTGCAGACATTTATTACCTGAATGGGTTTTTGAAGAAGATCATGTGAGGAATTTCTACCAAAGTTGAACGAAGGTTCTCTTCTCTTCTGTTGTGTACAATGGAAATAAATGTACATCGACACAGTTAAGTAGAAATATGTCTTAGTGTTTTTTCTAACATCATTCGTTTGTAAAATGAGCTTAGCGGTTCTCAGTTTGTAAAATTCCTTTGAGTTTGATGAGAAATGAGAAACCAATTCCTCTTTAACCTCCTCCTCTAACTTCATTTCTACAGGATCAAAATGATTTCGTTAACGCCTGAATAACTTAAATTCCAAAGGATCAATCTTAGGAGAATAAGAGCAGTGCGACAGTTAAATTCCACTTATATCTCCCTGGTGAATATTGCAGCGTGAATACGGCACCGTCGTGGTTGACGACTGTTTTTTTCTTTTGCATTAAAGATGGGCCAATTTCACTAAGCTGAAAATGCCCATCAGCTGGGGTTTTGTCGTCCGAATGTTCATAATGAGCTGATTCTTTGCATATCACATCACACAATGAAACACCTTTTATAATGCAAGCCTTGACGTTATGATAAGGTATCCATTTCTCGTCATCCTGAAGAACTCTGTCAAAAAGTACCTTCAAACTGTTTCATAAGGAAAGATTCACTACAATTAATACGTAGTTGATGACTCTCTTCCGGCAGGTCAAGTGGAACCAGCATTCTTTAGTGTAACACATTTCAAATCCATTTTAATTTACGTAATGGCAGTTGCAGACTAAGATTTTAGTCTTTGTCGGTTTCCTTAGTCTTAGTGAAGGGATTGGCTGGAAAATCTCATCAGTATCCACAATGGCGTATCCTGTCACGTACTTCTCGGCCAGTCGCCTAAGCTAAAATACTTATTTTGGAAAGGTGAAGGCCGGTCTCTATACGTTCTTTTAATCAAAAAATAAAGAGATGAAGTCTTCTGAAAGTTTAGCTGTTTAATTATCATGAGGATATTTGTAAAACTCATACTGCAAGACATTTGTAAGAGGCTGTCTACCTGGCTTTCAATGGAGTCGGATTATCGATTGTTTCAGACAGTAAATTTCTTAGCATGTGGAGAAAATAAATAATATGAACAAGAAGACATCGTTGAGCAATGAACGCGGACAATGCTTTGGTAAATCTCGGTCAGCATCGCCATTTTGAAAAACCGAGGCTCACTTTTGTTCGGATAAAACTCTGACCCCATGTGTGGTATCGTGAAGTTACAAAACGAATAAATCGTCAGTTTGAACTTCGAGGGTGACGTTCTCCAACGTGTGCCTCACAGTATGGTGCGCGCAAACGGTGACCTTCGTATGACTTAGTTTATGGTGTAAATAGATTTGCGGAGCATTTGTTGCGTCATATTTTCCCTCATCCATCTGGTTCCGGCAGCAAAACTTAGTAAGGAGGACGAGAGGGACGAGTGGGTTATATAAAAGGCAACCTCATAAAGCCCAGTCTAGTATGCACTTAAATAGAAGGGCGATGAGTGCACATTATAGGGTACGTGCAGCGCCTTCTAAAAACTGCACATTCATCTCAAGTCGGTATGCCCTCTTCCCAGGAATCTTCACCACCGTCAGCTCACGTCAGTGCTCAAACGTCGATGTGACAGACGCATCTGCGGATATATCCCCGAACGTCCTACTGAAAATAACAGCTATATTTTAATTTCACTTCGTGCATGGACTCTCTCTAATTCTTGGTCTATACGTTTATATGAAAACACTTAATGCATGGTACCCCAGTGTGCATTCAGTTTGAGACGCTATTAGACGATATTTAAGTTTGGGATGTCTTGATATCGCGAGTAACTTGCTAACGTTCTGTTTTATATTAACTGTTTGGAAGTCTGCAGAATGAGATATATCCATAAATCTTTTTCTCAAAATCTACACAGTTTCGTCTGCATTTCCACCAAACCTTTCATTTGAAGAAGTTGGGAAATACTCGGTGTCCCCGATGGGATTCAAACCTACGGCAGCAACGGCAAGACGTGATAGCAGCAAACGCTCTAGCCACCTGAACTACGAGGCTCCACCGAGGGCCGTAAGTTTAGTCGCATTTGAGTCAAGTTACCCTCCTAACGCAGTAACAGATTGCCCAAGCAGGATTTTCTAAGCAATCAACCTATGATCTGACTAGGGACGCACACTTTTCGCAATTGAGTCAAATGAATAGATCAGATCTACTCAACCTTTGTCTAGCATTGTTTATTACCGTGCTTCATTGTTTTATTGCACATTCTCCTTTTATTATAAAAGATGATAAAAACCACTGAGCTGTCTAACTGGCACTTAGCATTTTTCATACAAATGCAATATCACCCCGTCTTCTATCTTTTTTTCACTTATATATCACATCGGCGTACGGACACCGACGCATCTAAAGCACTTTTGGACCGCTCCTGACATTCCGTTTGCCGAAATTTAGCTGCACGTGCTTATTCAAAAAATAATCACGGTCACATCAGGAAGGGCCACTACTATTTTTTTGATTGTCTGGAGACATTCTTTCTCGACCTTTTCACCTGCACTTGCGAAGCGGCCCTGAATGTCAGTTATGAAAGGGTAGAGGGCGAAGATCTATATGCAGTGTATCCTAAATATACACAAAATACGCCTGCTGACGGTACGTGCCGATGGACACTAACTACACGTGTGCACTGTCAGTGTTAATAAATATTTTATTGTATAACACAGACGTGTTGTCACACGGGATTTTCGGGCCAACGGCTTAATATTTAAACCACTCGATCACCACATTTCTATTTATTTAAGCCAACGGCCGTTAGACAAAATCCCCCTTTATTTGCAATTTCCGTTATGCCATTAGTGAGAGAAAACCACCTGCCTATAAGTAACTGGTGTAATGCACTCCAAACCTCTCTGTTTGTGACCGTGGGGAGGGAACACCGATGAAAGTGCACCAAAAAGCTTACGAACTGAAATTTGGTAATCCAATCATTAATGACTTACCGGTTAAGTATTATATATCGAAATTTATGGTTTCACTCACATTGATAATGACTGCTGACTAACCGGTCCCAGTTTTGGCATCTTAACTGCAAGACGTTTAAGTCATCAGAAAGCAACTGCTGCTTGACAGTAAGGTTCAGCACACGTAATAGCAAACATTTCAGTCTTTGAAGCTTGCAGTAAAGTCTAAAGTCGGCTCTGGGTACTTAAGTGAAGTGCTCATTCGCGAGCCGAACTCTGAGCGGAAGTCTGCCTTTTGTGAATTTCAAATACACTAAAATCACTTTTTAAGAAGTCAACAGTTTTAAAATGACATTTAGCATTTCCCACCCAGTTGAGGTCATCTGATAGTTCGACAGTCGCTTCAGACGATGTCCACCGTGTGCCCCACAGCAAGGTGGAGCAGGGACAGTACTTTGCGCCTGAATTAATTTATAGTGATGGTGGGCTTGCGCTGCATCTACCGCACTATCTACTCCTCCACGTGAACCGGTGTCAAGAAATAGTCAAGAAGACTGGAGGCAGAGGAGAGCGCAGGTGGATTGCACGGTCGGGCCTGCACCTTGGCGCTCCACTACACACTCCTTTGTCCGCACAGCTAATGACCAGGCTTTTTTAACCAAGAACAAAAGCGGGGGCTGGCAGGGCCGGAGCCGCACCTAGGCGTACCATCACACCCGGCTTGGATTCCACGGGGTGGAAATGCCATAAGGCCGTATTAATAAGAAGCCATCGCAGCCTGACTCTTAAAACACCAGTCGGCCGCTCCACACAAACATGCAACACTAGGCCGACTGCCAGATTCAAGTTCTCTCGTCAGTTGGCAACCTTCCAGGCCACGGCTTTTGGCGCACTGTGATGGCTTCAAGCGCGTCAGATTGGTTGTAGTGAGGAAAGTGCGCTGAGTCATTGACCTCACTCTCCCTTCCCATTCCCATGCTCCAGCCACTGTCCGAGCCGGTCAGCTGACTGATGCGGAGAATGAGCGTGCTGGCTGACATAATTAGTGACCTTGTCTGCGCGCGTCACATGCACGACCTGGCTCTCCAAACACAAGCACCAGGATTTCACACAACGGAGGTTGACAGACATACATCTCACATGCGTGAGAGTGCTGTAAGTCACGTTCAGAAGGACCCGCTTCAGCCTGACTCTCATTCCTCCAGTCCGCCACTCCACACAAGCACATGCGTAACGGGACAGACTGTGTGGACTGGGTTGGGGCGTCAGTCAGCAGCCTTCCAAGCCACGGCGCTTGACGCGTCGTGATAGTCTCAGACTTGAATTACGCAGGCAGCAAAGGAGCGGCATGGAGGCGGAGCCGAGACGCACAATTACCATTTGCGTGAGAGGTGGCGAGCGGATGCTGATGGTGGTTGATGGTATTGTCTGATGCAGGTGTTAGTGGGGAAAGGTGTAGTGGTGCAATGTAGGCGGCGGTTGTTGACCGTAGGTTTCCGTAAATGTGCATGTGGCCTAATAGGCCCATGCGGTGGGCGAACGTGCGGGCGCGGTGGGAGCGGTTGAGATGGATGCTTCAGATGTAGCTTGGTGCATCAGATACTGGTTTACGGCTTCTGTGCGATGGACTCGCAAGTGACCGACCAGGACGATGCATGAGGTGAATGTACGAGGGCCCTTTGGACAGGAGAGGCCGGGAATGTCGGTTTCGGAGATGGTGCCAGTGCTGGAGCTGTTCACTGTGACCGTGCTGAGCGGTGAGGTTTGGGTTGAGCTGGGCCCGGTAGATGTGCAAGAGGTGCTGGGTGTGTCGAGACTGCGGTCAATTCCGCTCTCAATGATACGCATATGACCGAATAGACCCCTACGGTGAGTGAGTGTGCGGGGGCAGTGTAAACAATGGAGGCGACTGTGGAGATTGTAGGTTGGTGCTCCAGGCATTGGCTCGCCAGTCTCTGTACGATTGATTCACAAGTGACCGACCTGACCGATGTGTGGGGGGAGGGTGCGGTCGCAATTAAAACAGATATGGATCGAGGTCACACGGCGGTGTTGTTAATGGGGTGGTTGATATTTGTAGGTGCGTCAAGATTGTGTGCAGTAGTGGTGGACAGAGAGCCGCCGTAGCGAATGTTGAGTCAATGGAGAAGGAAGACGAGGATGAAGTGGAGGAGGTGGAGGATAGTAGTGGGGTTTGGGGGTTGCGGTCAGTGTTAGTTGTTTGTTTAGAGGACGAGACAGAGTTTTACGGCGGGACAGTGGCTGATGTAGTTCGGGTGCTGCAGACGGCAGGGAGATGTCTTACAAGGCGGACTGGTGCCCAGAGCGCCTTGGCAGCCTGGGCAAGTCGGGGATGGTTGAGCGTTGGTGTTGCGATGTGGACGCAGTTGGGATTAGTGAGCCTCGCGTTGGGCACTGGCGGCGGTGATGCGCTTGGCTTCTTAGATCGCTGCGCCTGTCTTCACTGTCCTCCTGCAAGACGGTCCGTCTCGAGCGAGGCCTTCCGAGTTGACCGGGTTGATCTGCAGACGCCTCAGGGATGTCTTTGCTTGTAGCGGCGAACTTGACCTCCTTGGCGGCGGAAACTCGTGACGACATCTCCGTATGAGAGTCGTTTGGGATGTCGCCCTTCGTTCATCCGCAGGAGGTGTTCGTTTCAGCACATTTGCAATTGTCTCATTATGGCACAGAGGCTGAGGATTTCCATCCGCTCCAGTACATTCGTGTCGGGCATCCTGTCATGCCACTTCAGCTTAAACATCCGTCGAAGACAGCTGGAGTGGAAGTGATTGAGCCTCCGCGCCCGTTTCTTGGGGACCGTCCAGGTCTCCGCTCCGTACAGCAGCGCCGGCAGGATGACTGTTCTGTACATCTTCATTTTTATGTTGAGGTGGAGACTGTTGCGATTCCCGACTGCGCTTTGCAGACGGCCGAGGGCTTGGCTGACTATGAAAATCCTGCGAAAGACTTTATCGTCGACCTTGGTGTTATGGGAGAGCGTGCGGCCCAGGTTGGTGAAGTTGTCAACCACTTACAGTTGGCGTCGTTCACGTTGATTTGAGGTGCAACGTAGGCGGCGTCGGGTGGTGGTTGATGTATGACAGCCGTCTTCACCACATTGATGACATGGCCGAAGTTGCTGCAGGCGGCAGAGAAGGGGTCCATAGTCCACTGCATGTCTCTTTGAAGGGATTGTTGATGGCGTAGTCGTTGTCGTCGTCGAAAAGAAGTTCATGAACGACAATCGTGGATACACGCGACTGGAAGTGCGTCCGCCGGTGATTGAGGAGGTGACCATCCGTCCTGTAGGCGATGCGGATTCCAGGACGTTCGTCACCGTGGGCCTTCATCAGCATGAACATGAGACCGACGAGGGTAGGCGCGAGGACGCAGCCCCACTTCACTCCGTTAGTCGCTGCAAATGCCTCGGAGACAGCTCCATTGTCTGTGAGTCGCGCCACAATGCCATCGTCAAGCTGACGCACCATCTGAGTGCATCGCTCGGGACAGCTGGATATCTGCTTGATTTCCACAGTCCTTCGCGATTCATCGTATCGAGGACTTTCGTCGGATTCACGAAGGTAGAGTAGATGTCGATCTGCATCTCCGGGCATTTCTGTAGCTGGCGGTTGGCAAAGATTATGTCAGTGGTCTCACGACGACGACGGACTGCATTGGCTTTTTTGGAAAGAGACCTTGTTCCAAATGTTTGTTCAGGCAGTTGAGAACGATGCAAGTGAAGATCTTCCCAGCGATGTTCAGCAGGGAAATGCCTTGGTAGTTGTCGCAGATCTGGCGGTTCCCTTTGCGCTTGTTGAGGTGAACGATTGTGGCGTACTTGAAATCCTGTGGGAATTCTCCTTTGCGCCACATCTCTTGAAAGAGCGCAGTCAGATTATTCATGAGTTGGGACAACCGTGCTTGTAGACCTCAGCAGGGATCGTATCCATACTAGGCCGCATCCAGCTTGAGAGCTGCTCCACAGCCTTGCTGATTTCACGTAGAGAGGGCGGGAGGTCGAGGTCGACGTTGCTCCGCACCTGAGGCAAACGGACGATGGCGGCGTCGGAGATGTTGGAGGGACGGTTGATGACGCCTCTGAAGTGCTCGACCCATCGCTGTAGGACTTGAGTTTTGTCGGTGAGAAGGGTACTGCCATTGGCGCTGTGAAGAGGAGCATTTACTTTGGTTTGCGTACCGTGGACAGCCTTGATCGCGGAGAGGAAAGTCTTCCATTCGTTGCGGTCCACGAACCCTTGAATCTCCTCGGCCTTGCGAGCCATCCAAGCGTCCTAGATCTCGCGTAGCCGCTGTTACAAAAGGCTGCAACTACGGTGGAATGTTGCTTTGTTGTCGTCGGTGGGGCGTGTGACGTGGGTTGTGTGCAGGCGGTTCTTCTCGATGAACAGGTCGTTGATGGCGGCGTCGTTGTTATGAACCAGTCCTAATGTTGGCGACGTGCGCGACCGAGGATGGCCAGCGCCGTCGACTGGACTACGTCCCGCAGTTGACACCATCGGTTTTCAACGGAGGCCCTATCGATGGCAGCGACCGAAAGGACGGCTAGCATTTGAGCTAGCGCATTGTCGAAATGGAGATCGTGAGCAGGCAAAGACAACAAAGCAATATTCAGCTTAGCTGGGAATTGCTTTCTTGAGATCGGCTGCGATGCTGTGGGCGAATCCACATCTTGGAGATGACGAGGCGATGGTTGGTCCGTCCGTCATCACCAGGAATCGCTTTAGTCACCAGCATCTCCCGCTGGTCTCGTCTCTGGACGAGGAAATAGTCCATCAGGTGCCAGAGTCGCGACCGAGGGGACATCCAGGTGGCCATTCCTAGCATCGATAGGCGGAAAAGATTTTCGTCAGGATACGTCAGTGTTCTGCCCAGGCTTGTAGAATGAGCAGGCCATTGTCATTCGAGCCTTTGAGACAATGAGGACCCAGCACGTCTCCCCAGGCAGCATGGCTTGTGCCGACGCGTGCGTTCTAGTCACCAAAGACCGTCAACGTATCCGCCTTCGGCACAGTCATCGGGAGGGCAGGCAGGTCACCGCAGAAGTTGTTCCTCGTCTCGTCAGCGCTGGTCATCGGCGAGACGTAGACACTGACGATGGTGGCTAATTTGCCTTTCCGGAGAGGCAGGCAAAGGCTCATCAGGCGATCGCTTGTGCTCTGCGTCAGATATGGCATTCGTCTCACGATGTGGTTCCGGATGGCAACTTTGACGCTCGCGTCCCGTCGCTCTGCTTTTGGGCGACCGGTCCAGAAGAAGGTGTGACCTGCACCCACCTTCTCCAGTTGGCCTTGTTCGGAGAATCAGGTCTCGATGAGTGCGACGATGTCTGCATTGTAGCGCACCAGTTTTCGAAACAATGGCACCGACCTCATTTCCGGTCAGTTGCCCCTCGTATTGTCTAAAAGGGAGCGAATATTCCAGGCTGCCACAGTGAGCGGACTTCCCCGACCAGCCTGTGGGGTGGGGCGCCGGACAGGGGATAAAGTGTAGAGGGACGGGATGCAGAGTTTCCCCATCTCTCCCTAAGCTAGTTGATTGCTAAAATATAAACGGTATGCAGACAACTTCGACAGAAAGGGATTTAGCTTACAATATGGACAAATGCAAACAAGCAGACAAAAGTAAACAGGCAAGAACAGCAAAAAGCAAAGATAACGAAGGGAATTCACCAAAATGACATTCAATTTTCACCAAGAATAAACACAAACAGGCTGGCAAATAACAATCCAGTAGAGCATTGATTGCCTACCCCCGGGCACTTACTTTGTGGTCTCCTGCGGTGTTTCAGACGAAATCTTTTCTCAGAGATGCCGAGGCGGTTGTCCTTAGAAATGTGGGACTGGCGTCTTTTTGGACTTGGCCGGCTCTTCATCATCAACAGGTTTTGTGCAAAATATCGGCCAGAATGTTAAATTAACTGTCGAGTTAGTTGACCTTGGGTTGTTCTATTTTCTTCGTCCGCCGTCTTGGCCCTCTGGCCGTTGTTTGTGGATCTTGGCGACCCCCTGCGTTGGGTGCCGTCACCTCACTGGGCGTCGGTGGCAACTGTGCTCCCCTTTCAAGTTAATTATTCGACGGGCCGTGTTTGCCTGTTATTTTTAAGCTCCATGTGAAAGTCTTGTCCTCGTCATGGAGTATGTACTGAAGTAGGACTTTATAACCCGAGGAAAAATTTAGATGACTGTTGACGGTGTTCGCATCTGAGTAGCAGGCCTCAAGTGTCAAACATTCTGTCGTTGAGATGACCGGGTTTAAGACGGTTGCTCCATGAAAATCAATGTTATGGCCAGTTTCTCCGAGGTGATTCGCAAGCCGTGAGTTCAGGTCTAGTCTCCTAGTTGCCAGTTTATGCCCGTGCTGGCGGGTCTGCAATTGCCTTTCGGTTTCCCCAAAGTAATTTCAGTCTCTATCTTTACATTATATCAGATAGAAAACCGCAGAGGTTTAGTGGGTGACAGTGTGTCCTTGGGTTGCATCAAACGACGACGGAGTGTTGCCTGGGGTCGGTGGGCAAGACCTACTCTGGATGGTTGTAAAAGTCGTGAAACCGTGGCGGAGGCTCTTATAATATAAGAAATAGCCCTACGGACATCGGACAGAACTGGAAATGGGAACTGTCCGTAATGCAGGTGGCCTTGCGATAAATTTCAACGAAACTAGGGTTGGGGTTAAGGTCGGGCTAAAAATCACGGCCAGAACTTGGTTGGGGTTAAAGTTAGGTTTTGGATTGCGTTTTTGGACTAGGGCCAGTTTTAAGGTAAGAATTAGGACATATGAATGGTTATCCTCCCTGGAATGAAGCACAAAACCTACTGTATTACGGAGTTGCTACTCCCCTGTCTTATCACAATTCTTCCAGTTGGGAACTTCGTCTTGCATATTACTTCCTCTCGAATACTTGTCTAACGGCTGTCCTTAAGATTTTTTGGGAAGGAAATCAAATAGATTGATCACGGCAAACAACATCATCATTTTGCTTGCAGACGCGGCAGGCTCTTGGCATCACTCGACCCAGTGCTCTTAGCTTGCTAGCTGAGACTTCAAATGCCCCCCCTCTAAAGTGGTCTTTCGAATCAGAGCCACTAATTTTTACTCTTCATTGCATTCCAGCCATTCTGCTGTCCCATGCATCACTCGGCATATTTTGCTGACTTGTAATCATACTGTTTATCTAAAGTATATGTCTGAGGCAGCTAGAAAAGCAAAATTCCCGAATAAAATAAGAGCACACACGGTTTAGGACTGATATACTCTTTTCTCACCTCAAACTTTCAAGTTCTCGAAGGGAACCCCCTGCAATTAAGGTGAGACAGTCTGAAGGAAGTTCATTTGCTGGCTTGAACGTCTTTATTATTCAGTGTACGTCTCTTCTTTCTCAAATTCTCATCCGTCTGCTAATATTTGAAAGGAGCTTAAACGCATCACTAACTAATAACCATGAAGATTTGCACAAAGTAAACAGGATCTTTAAATTTATTTCTAATATATCAAACGTTCCTTTGGGTAAGTTTTCATCCTAGCAGCGTACCTTCTATTCCGTATCGGTGGCTGTATTTGAAAAGCGTCCTCCGGAAGCCCGTAGTTTAATGACTGATGAAACTGATAAAATTTCCGCACTTCTCCTCAGGCCCTGATAAATCGTCCTATTAGTCTATTTATCGGAGTATCTGTGCTGCCTGGCATACGGCCAGAATCGCTCTACCCTAAATTGACTAATAATTTGATCAAATATTTCCTCATCAGGTCGCTTTTCCATCTGCTGCTCTAAGTCTGACTAAATGAATCTCCCTAAAAATAATCACCGCGTGCCCCGAAATTTTCCTGAACGCTCTGTAATTTACAGGCAAATTCAGGTACATCACCCTACATGCCAATTTTCTCATAGTCACCTCTAATCTTAAAGACTTGGGCAAGCACCGCTGTTCGTAGTCATATGGATCTTCCATTTTAGTGCCGATCCTGGCAATGCAATGAGGGCAACTATTCCAGCTACATTTTTCTCTGCTTCGAGATTTGTTTTCCTCCTCAACTTTAGTTGTCTAATCCACCAGACGCAAATTTGTTCTTTTTTACAGTAACTTTGAAGTTTTTCTAGGCGCCTTCCTGTCCACAACCCTGCTTTTCGCTTAATAAGAATGTGCTGGACTGGTCAAATAACTGCTGTGTTATTGTTGTTCGTCATTTTTTCCAAGAATGCGTTTACGTTCGACTTCTTAGAGGCACTGCAGACCACACCTCAACGTAATCCTTGAAAATACCTTCTGTTCATTAATCAAGGATAAGCTTAATCTAATTTTTAGCGTTTTGGATTTTTCACACAATCCACAACGACGTCAGTTATCCTAAAGTTGCCCAGCATCCAAATGTACATTCTCCCTCCACGTTAACTCCACTTATAAACTATTTATAAACTCACCTATTTTGTTTGATGCTTCAGTTTCCATTACACTTTCTAGCCCTTAATCTGGCGATTTGTGGATTCATTTATGCAGTACTGTCCCTGTGTTATATTCCATATCTCAAAAAGTTATTTTTAGTTTAAGACAACCACTTTTCACTGATGTCTTTTAATTCTTTTTGTTCTGTTAGAAGACTTTTAACACCTTCGAGGTACCCTTATAACCGCTTTTAATGATGCTGTGGACTCGCTTTATTCTCACTAATTGATGTGAATTCATTCTGTCTAACCCTATGTGGTCTTTGTCATATCTCTTGCCATGCATGCGCTTATGAAAAACCAGTTTTAGAATTCTTGGCATGACCTCTGGCGTGCAACGACACTGAACTGCAGAAACCGAGCTTCGACTTGCCATCATAATCTTTGAACTTTTTACGTTGATCATTTTTCTCTTGAAAATTGATATTTTGCTGTATGGTTATAGCGATTTGTAAAAATATTCTACTGTCTTGTTTCAGAGCCAATTTTATCCATTCTGTCGAATCAGGACCAAAGCAGACTAGGTAAATTTAGTGAAGTTGTGGCTGACGTTTTGTGGTCAATTTGCATATCCAGTCGGTCGTCTGCAAGTACATTTGACCTGTGGGTAGGTCTGACTTATATGGACCCGTAAACAGGACATGAGAACAGGAGCCGCCTGCAATAATGGTGGCTTTGAGTCAATTTTCAGTGGAATTAGAATTACGTTTGAGGTTATGGTTAAGCAATAGAAACGAAGAGACGACTCGCAGGAAGCACTCGCGAAGGATACATGATCGCTGAAGCAAGAGCTTCATTCGCGTGGCATCTCGGATTTTTTCTCGA